GGAGTGTGGGGTCAGGACGAGGGAGCCCGCTGCTGGGCCCGGAGTGTGGGGTCAGGACGAGGGAGCCCGCTGCTGGGCCCGGAGTGTGGGGTCAGAAGCACGGGAGTATCTTGGAGTGGGGGCATGGTGGAAGAATGGGGCCTGCATTCCACATCAGGGGTACATAGCTGCTCACTCTAGCCAATTAAATTTGGACTCAGTGTTGCTAGATCTTGTAGGTTGGAAGAGAAACCAGACATGTAGACTTTTCCATGAAATCTCCCAATTCTTAATGTGGCCCACATTAGAGAGCTTATCTGGCTATGTTTGGTCCTGGGATGGTGTGATTTTACCTCTGTCTTGGTCTCTGGTGGGCCTAGGGGTACCAGGATCCTGCTCTCTGAAGGAGGCCATCTCCCACCCCGCCATGCTGGCTCTTCCCTCTCACCTCTAACCTGGGCTCTTGACACGCAGGGTGAGCACTTATGTCTTCATTTCTTTCCACAGTGGAGAGGAGCAGACTGCAAGAAATGCTGTCACTTTTGGGACTAGAGACATACCAGGTCCAGAAACTGAGCCTCCAGGACTCCCTGCAGATCAGTAGTGACAGCATGAAGAACTGGGCTCCTCAGGTTCCCAAAGACTTGCCCTGGAATTTCCTCAGGAAGCTGCAGGCCCTCAATGCTGAAGCCAGGAACACCACCATGGTGCTGGACATGCCCCCAGATGCCAGGCCTGTGGAGAAGGAGAGCCAGATGGAAGAGGAGATTATCTACTGGGACACAGCTGACGATATCTCTGCGGACATCTATTCTTTCTCTGAGCTGCCAACCCCCGACACGCCTGTGAACCCCTTGGACCTTCTCTGTGCCCTTCTGCTTTCCTCAGATAGTTTCCTGCAACAAGAAATCGTGGTAAAAATGTCCCTCTGCCAGTTTGCACTCCCTCTCATCTTGCCTGACTCAGAAAACCACTACCACACATTTCTGCTGTGGGCCATGAGGGGCATTGTGCGGACATGGTGGTCACAGCCTCCAAGGGGGGTGGGCAGCTTCAGAGAAGACAGCGTGGTCCTGTTCCGGGCGCCGGCCTTTGCCTTCGTGCGCATGGAGGTCAGCAGCAACTCCAAGTCCCAGCTTCTCAATGCAGTGCTCAGCCCGGGCCACAGGCAGCGGGACTGCTTCTGGCACCGGGATCTGAACTTGGGCACCAACCCTCGGGAGATTGCAGACGGGATGGTGGAAATTTCCTGGTTTCTTCCCAGTGGCAGGGAAGACTTGGACATTTTCCCAGAGCCTGTGGCCTTTCTGAACCTGAGAGGTGACATTGGGTCTCATTGGCTGCAGTTTAAGCTCTTGACAGAAATCTCCTCAGCCGTGTTCATCTTGACAGACAACATCAGTAAGAAGGAGTACAAACTGCTGTACTCCATGAAGGGGTCGGCCACAAAATACTACTTCATCCTGAGTCCCTACCGTGGGAAACGAAACACAAACCTGAGATTCCTGAACAAGTTAATCCCCGTGCTGAAGATGGACCACTCGCACGTTCTCGTGAAGGTCAGCAGCACGGACAGCGCGAGCTTTGTGCGGAGGATCCGCTCCATCGTGGGGCACGTGGCCCGGTCCCCCTGCAGGAGGCTGTCTGTGGAGGAGATGGCGAATGCAGCCCGTAAGCTGGGGCTGAGGGTGGATGAGGACTGCGAGGAGTGTCAGCGAGCGAAAGACCGGATGGAGCGCATCACCAGGAAAATCAAAGACTCGGACGCCTACCGGAGGGACGAGCTGAGGCTGCAGGGGGACCCTTGGAGAAAGGCGGCCCAGGTGGAGAAGGAGCTCTGCCAGGTCCAGTGGGCTGGAGACCCTCCTGAGAAGCACAGGGCTGAGCTGAGGCATCGTTTACTGGAACTTCGAATGCAGCAAAATGGCCACGACCCTGCCTGGGGGGTGCAAGAGTTCATCACAGGCGTCAGCAGCGCCTCCCTGGGCGAGAAGCAGTACTTCCTGAGGTGGATGGAGTGGGGGCTGGCCCGGGTGGCCCAGCCAAGGCTGAGACAGCCTCCGGAGACAATTCTTACCCTGAGACCAAAACACTGTGGGGCAGTGGACTTCAGTGAGGCGCTCTGGCCTGAGCCCCTGGGGGTGGAGCACTTCCTGCGGGAGATGGGACAGTTTTACGAGGCAGAAAGCTGCCTTGTGGAGGCAGGGAAGCTGCCAGCAGGCCAAAGGCGGTTTGCCCACTTCCCAGGCCTGGCCTTGGAGCTGCTGCTGAAGGGGCTCCCCCTGGAGCTGATCGACGGGAGCACACTGAGCACTCCCCTGCGCTGGGTCACAGGGCTCCTGAAGGAGCTGCACATCCGCCTGGAGAGAAGGTCGCGACTGGTGGTCCTGTCAGCGCTGGGCGTGCCGGGCACAGGCAAGTCCACCCTTCTCAACACCATGTTTGGGCTGCGGTTTGCCACGGGGAAGGGCTGTGGTCCTCGAGGGGCCTTTATGCAGCTCATCACAGTGGCCGAGAGCTTCAGCCAGGACCTGGGCTGTGACCACATCCTGGTGATAGACTCTGGAGGCTTGATAGGGGGGGCTCTGACCGCCGCTGGGGAGAGGTTTGAGCTGGAGGCTTCCCTGGCCACTTTGATTATGGGGCTGAGCAACGTCACCGTGGTCAGTTTAGCTGAAACGAGGGACATCCCACCGGCTATTCTGCATGCATTTCTGAGGCTGGAAAAAACGGGGCACATGCCGAACTATCAGTTTGTATACCAGAACCTTCATGATGTGTCTGCCTCCGGCCCCAAGCCGAGAGAGAGGAGGCAGCTCCTGGATCAGCCCAGTGACGTGAGCAGAGCTGCAGTGCAAATGGAGAAACAGGGCGATGGCATCCGGACGCTGGCTGACCTGGCCTTTTGTGACCCTGAGAGGCAGCACATTTGGCACATCCCTGGCCTGTGGCATGGAGTGCCTCCCATGGCCGCTGTGAGCTTGGGGTACAGCGAGGCCATTTTTGAACTAAAGAGATGCCTGCTAGAAAACATCAGGAATGGCCTGTCCAACCAAAACAAAAACATTCAGCAGCTCATTGAGCTGGTGAGGCGGCTCTGAGTCGGGAGAACAGAGGTTCAGCTGCCGGAGGCCTGCCGTGGGCAGCCTGTTCTGATGGGGGTGTCCGCATGGGGCTGTACCTGGCCCCTGAGGGGGGCTGGTGCCCGACCCACATGAGAAGGGAGAAAAGCAAAAGGCAGGGGTCTGGAGTTTCCTAAACAGTGTTAAGAAAGGAAGTCAACTCACAGACCAGCTCAGAGATGCTCTCGGGAGTTTAATAGCCCTGGGCTTCGGGGGTGGAGACACAGCCGTAATTTGTTGTCTCTGAGCTCCTTTCGAGGCCCCTGGGGGTTCAGCCTCTTGTGCAGCTGCTCTCCTCCATCTGCCCCTGGAGTGGAGAGTAGCTCCCCATCACTGCAGCCCGGCAGACAGGTACAGGATCGAGGTCAGAAGGTGCCCTGAGGAAGCAGAGGGAGGCCTTTCCTCCAGCGCACCCCAGCCTTGGTGACTCAATCCTGCCTGTTTAGGGAGGGCCCTCAGTGTGCAGGGCAGCCGGGGCACTCTATTTATTGACTGACCTGTGAAGCTTCCCCACCCCGCCCCAGGAGAGGTCCTGCTCGCTCTGCCGCGCCCTACAGCACTCTGTTTACACCTCTGCCACAACACTCAGCGCTGTGCATCGTGACTTACCTGTTCACCTCTGCCCCTCCCCTAGGCTGTGAGCTCCTTGAGGGCAAGGGCTGGACATTACCCAGCTTTGTACCCCTAGGGCCTGGCACACTATGGGCGCTTAATAAATGTGTGTTGAATGAATGAAATGAATGAATGTGCAAATGATGGTAATGGGCAGGTTCCTCTCTGTGCCTTAATTTTCCTGTTTCCTGAAGAGGATCAGTGTCAGTCTGAGGAGGGTGCAAAATAGAATGTCTGAAGTGGTGAACATCTGAGAGAAGGGTCTGAAAAAGGCCACGCTGTTCCTTTCTAAGCAGAGACCCATTCTTCAGGCTGTTACTAGGAAACTGAACTGTCTTGGCGGAAACTTCGAGGTATCTCCACCATGATCCCATTTGATAGGTGAGGAAAGGAGGCCTGGAGCAGTTCAGCAGTGCAGCCCAGCCACACCCCTGCATAGGTGTTGATGAGTAAGCCGGTGCCCTCAGCCCTACACCTCTGCTCCTGACCACTCGTCTTCCCCAAACTCCCACAGCTGCCAGGCTCACCCCTCGCCTGGCCCCTCAGTGTCAGCCCTTTGTCCCACTTCCGTGTCTCTGTGGCCAGGCACCCTCCCTCATATCTTCCATGGCCCGGTTGCCACCATTCAAGCTAGAATGTAGGGCTCCTCCACTGTCGATTCCCCAGCTGGAATCCTTGCCTGCGCTGGCCCTTACCAAGGGCCAGGGTCACCTCAGTGAGCCTTGGACCCCAACCCCACTAGCTCTGGGAATCTCTGCTTAGGCCTTGGGGCCTCCTTCCCTCTACATTTTGTGATTTCAGGGAAACTAGGCCCCCAGGCGGTGACCAGGTCCTCCTCTGTGTTCCTTGTACTCCTTTGGCCAGACTCGGCAAGGGAGCCCTTGGGACTGGAACCCCTTCTTGAACAGCAGGCTCGTTGTGCCCTTTTCTGGAGTCCCAGGATGCTACACCTGCAGCTCCCTTGATGTTAACAATGTTGCCCCCTGCGTTCTGGGGACCAGCCTCCAGACATGTGGAACTGAGGCTGAAGGCAGTACTGGAACTCTGGAAACCTGATCTATCTTTTTCTGATAAATTTAGGAAAACCTTTTCCCTTCTGAAACTCAAAAAGAATCTCTAATCCTCAGGCACTAGGAACTCACCTCTTCCTGGATCGTAAATAACACAAATTTTAAGACGTTGGTTCACCTGGAAATACCAAAACCTCGTCTTACTCCCCCCAGGTGCTTCTCCAGCACTGTAGGAATGTCACCCAGGACACTCCTGGGCCCCAAGTTCAGGCACTGGAAACCTCGCTTAGCATTGGTTGACTATCAACCAGTTCCCTCAAGTTATTCCTGAAATCTGAAACAGGGAAGCCAGCCCTCGTGGCTCCCTACTAATCAAAGATTCTTTACCTTGGGTCTATCCATTGTGCAAAGATAAGGTTCAGACATTGAATTCCTGAAAATTAGATGTGTGCTTTTATTTCTAGGGAAAGAGTTCATAGCTTTCAACAGATTTTCAAGAGGCTGCAGGATCCGAAACAGATTAATAACTGCTTAGTAATCAGGAAAATTATTCCATGCATCCCAGGACCTAAGATACTATGAAATTACATCAAACATTTGCCCAGACTCTTTAGACTTTTGAAAACAGACCAGTCTAAAGACTGGATGTAACAGACTGAGCAGGAGGTTTCCCTGGGCAGCCCCAGGCAGGACCACTGTGGAGGACACGCAGTCAAGCAGCCAAGGAATTCTGGAACTGCCTGGGCGGTGTGGAAAGACCATCACCTCTCTCAGGTGCAGGGACAGGAGAGGTTGCCCTGGAGCTGAGTGATTTTTCCAAAAAGTCAGTTATGACGCTCCCTTCACCCTCGTTTAGAGGTTGATGTTTCAATTCCATGACCTGCAAAAGGGGTGCACCTTCAGACCCTAAAGTCAGTGCCACTCTTGTGATTCAGATTTCCACAATACCCAGCTCTTGCCTAGCGGCCCTAGAGCTCAAAACACTAAGCATCAGCATGCCCCGCCATCACCACAGCCGGAGGGCACCCCCCACATCAGACCTGAAGACATCTTCAGAGACTGAGAGGCCCCAGACCTTGCCAGGTGACGTCCTTGAAGCCAAGCTTAGTGATGCGAGAGCCACTCGGAAGAGTGGACAGGGCTGCTCGCGCGGGACCCTGTTACTTGGGTGAAAGCATGAACCATGTCAGTGATCTTGGAGTAAATGGCCTGGGAGTCTTTGAGACTAGGCACAAGAGTGCCTGCCCCTCTCCTGGGAGGTGGGAAGTAGCTCACCTCAGCATGCAGGACGCTGGCCTGGTTCTGAACCTCGGCCTTGCTTCCTGCTAATTCCACAGCCCTTGAGCACAGTCACTACACTTCACTAAACCTTAGTCCCCCTACTAGCACTTGCTCTTTGGTGAGTGCACAAAGGCTGGTTTTGGAGGAGCAAGTCTGTGCACACAAGGCACCAGAAGCCGTGTCTACACCAGTCTGCACATCCATGAGGTTCATGCAAAGGAAACTGCCTGCTTTCTACATCAATCTCAAACATTTTAACATGGCAAACAGGATTTATCTTGTAATCAATCAGTGGTATCTTAAAATTAATTTGCAGCCATTTCTCTTTCTTCATGGTATATAAAGCAATGTTTTCTAATTGATGTTATCTTGGATGTACTGAAACACTACCTAGAAGGGCTCGTGTTGAGAAATCTGTACCAGTGTAAACCTAATGTGGTATCTCTCCCCAGCTCCTCAGATGTGAATTAGCCCAGTAAAGAAAAATCCTTTTTTTCCTGAGGCAGTAATAAAAAAAAGATGTTGGCTATAAACCTATCCTGGGTTCCGAAGACTTCAACAAAATTACATCAGATGTGGTTTTACAAGCACCCCTGAGACAAGACTGCAGAAGAGGGCCAAGGTGATCTTTTTTTTTTTAAAGATTTTTATTTATTTATTTTTTCCCCCCAAAGCCCCAGCAGATTGTTGTATGTCATAGCTGCACATCCTTCTAGTTGCTGCATGTGGGACGCGGCCTCAGCATGGCCGGAGAAGCGGTGCGTTGGTGCGCGCCCGGGATCCGAACCCAGGCCGCCAGCAACGGAGTGCGCGCACTTAACCGCTAAGCCACGGGGCCAGGGCCAAGGTGATCTTGATCCTGGTTCTGGCGACTTCCCACCCCTCACTCCACAGCACCCACACTCTGGACTCCCTGGCTTCATTCATGCTATTGTCTGCCTGGGGCCTCCTGCCACCTGTCCTTGTTCCTGGCTGACTCTGGCAGGCACTTCTCCCTCAGGATGGCCTCTGATGGCAGCCCACCTCCATTCCACCACCTGAGGGGGTCAGGGGCCTTTATGTGCTCCTGTCATGGTCCTTATGTTTTTTTTCGGTGAGGAAGATCAGCTCTGAGCTAACATCCATGCCAATCCTCTTTTTGCTGAGGAAGACCGGCCCTGAGCTAACGTCTGTGCCCATCTTCCTCCACTTTATATGGGACGCCACCACAGCATGGCCTGACAAGTGGTGCATCTGTGCGCGCCCAGGATCCAAACCCAGGCCACCAGCAGTGGAGCACGCGCAGTTAACCGCTACACCACGGGGCCGGCCCCGTCATGGTCCTTATCTTAACCTCGTTCCACCTGTCTGCTTTTCTGCTCTCCCCATCTGAGCTCCCTATGGAAGGCATAGTGTCTCACACATTTTTGTCTTCAAATCTAGCACGGCATCTGAGAACCAGGGAGTGAGGTCTCAATTGCCAGAACACATGGGGCCCATTTCTCATCCACTTATGCCAAGCCCTGACTTTTAGCCCAGGGCCCCAGTGTGGCGCACAGCGTTTCTAATTGGTTTCGCTATCAGGAGACTGGACTTGCTCAGCACCCCAAAGCTGAAGTCAGTAATTATAGTTGGGACCTAACCCAGTGAACCTACCCCTTCTTCCTGTGCCTCAACAGAGGGAGAGGGGGTGGGAGAACGGAGCAGGAGCTCCCAGGGAAACATGGGATTAGAGCCCCTCTGGCTACCTGTTGGAGAAAGAAGAGGACGATTCAAGACTCTGCTTTAACTTGGTTTCAGTGGTTAGTTGGCCTAGTTCCCAGAATAGAGCTGAGAGCCTCTGGGATTCTTCTTGGTGAATGGGTTGGTTATTAGGAGAAAACAAATTGCCAGGAGTAATGTGGAAACCATAGGTTTGCAAAATGCAAGGTTACAAAGTGTCAGCAGTTCTGAGTTAGGGGAAGTCAGTCTCGTGTGGGGTTGTCTCCGCGAGCCCGCAGCCAACAGGAAAGCAGACGTCTCCGGCTGGGGCTCCCCTCCCTGAGGTTAGATTTTGGTGAGCTCCAGGAAATAAACACCATGTTCCAGGCTGGACTGTGCTCTGCAAGTCCAGGTGGGCCCAGAGTCTCCCCTTCCCACAATGTTGCCCTACAGCCCGGCCGGTGATACAGGTGACCCCTTGGGCTGTGCCGGATCCAGTGGACAGACTGTCTCAAAGAAGTCCAGACCACCCAGCAGGCCTCTCCTCTGCCTTGTGGCCCAAGAGGGACAGGCCTGGACTAAGGGCAATCCGCTCAGAGAGAGAGCTGCCATGGTGTTGCAGGACCAGTGGTAGAAAAGGGGAGTAGGGGAGTAAGGAGCATCCAACAGCCGTCTCCCCAAACGGGGTCTCTACCAATCAGTTCTGGGAGGTTCCCACAAACCTTGGAGTTTAGGACACTGATTCTCAATCCTGGCTGTAAATCAGGATCATCAGAGGAGCACTGAAACAGCACAGGTACCACCCCTCTAGTCCCATACTTGTGCTATGGGGCCCAGAGCACTCCAACATGCAGCCAGGGTTGAGAACCACTGCTTTGAGAACATAAAAGCGACTCTTTGGTTATCATAAGGAGAGTAAAGAGGGTCACGTCTGAGAAAAAATGGTTGCACATCCCCATCTCCCCAGGGCTCTAGTCCGGGCCTCCCAGCTGGGGTGCCCTTCGTGTGGGTCACTTGTTCCTAGATGTGGCTGCTGCATATCCAGGAAGCCCCGTAGGACCAGTCCCGAGCAGTCTGCGCACAGACACACAGGCCATTCCCCCATCCTACGTGGTTTTGAATGCACACCCCCACCCACTGATGCAGTGGAACCC